CAACCTAACGGGCAGACACAACCACACAAATCCATACCCAGGCTGGAGGCATACAGAGCACGTTCCCTCTTCTTCCTCACCTTCCTCTCCCTGCCTCCCCTTCCCCCATGATTCAAGTTGCTTCTGAACAGAAAAACAGAATAGATTCATGGTTTGAAACTGCTGCACCATTTGGATGACTCGTTTTTATTGACCCTGTGCTGTGAACAATGCTGGGGGCAAACTGATCGTTACTAATTAAAGTATTACATAATTAAGCTGGAATTAATTGGGTGTTCCCATCCTCACAGCACTGTTGGAGTTAAACTGTTTTGAAGGAGGTAGAGAAAGGTAGGAAGTAAGTTCAGAAGAAAAATATTTGATGTTTAAAAAAAAATGCTGTGTTTTTAAAAACATTATCACGAATGCACCACTCTTACATGAAATACTACATGACACGGCAGCATGTGGTACCAACCCACAGGCTAGCTTGAAGGCCATAATGCAGTCATGCGGATCAGTCTGGGAACCACTGATGCATGGGTACAGGATCTTAGGCATAAAAACCTTCAGAAGAATGCCAGAGGAGATGACCAGAGCGAAGAAGTAATTGGGGGGGAAAAAAATGAAAATAAGAAAGACAACAGGAAGAGAAAAAAAGAAAAAAATCAGAAGAAGGAAGAAGAAAAAGAGAAAGAAAGAAAGATGCTTCATTTTGTATAACAGCAATTATATTATATAGAAAATAGGTGGAAGAAGAGTGACAGATGCCTCATCAAGACCTAGATTTCAGCTGGCTGGCTGGTCCACAGGAGTTTTTAAGACTCGAGAGGAAAATGGCCTGAGCAACTCGGCCTGAACTCAGTGTCGACCCTATTTTAAGTAGGAAGCTGGACAAGAGACCTCCCGAAGTCCTTTGCCACTTGAAAGATTGCTAAGATCTGTCAGGAGGATACAGGATGCTAGAGAAAATCTAAACTAAGTAACCTGATGAGTAATCAAACAAGTAAAAGCCACACTTGAATTTTTCTTTCGATAACTGCATTACAAGAACAGATATAGTTCATAGCTAAATATGACACAAGGTGAAGCTATACTTGAAAAATTTAGGACTTTATTTTAAACAAAGATCTTTTTTTTTCTTTGTACAAAACGTTCCAGACTGTACAATGCATCAACATTTTTCTAAGGTAGGGTGGGCTTTTTTTAAATTATGTAACCATTTCCTCTTCAGTTTTGAGGTAGAAATACACACATTTCCAATCAGCATTTTAATAAAAACACTTAAGCCCTCCCTACCATGATCCAAACATAAAAGCAATGCACAAGAACACAATATCCATTTCCCCACTCTTAATTGCTCAGATAAATTAGAAATCATGTCACGGCCCATGGAAGTTGGCATTTAAAAGTTGGCCCATGAAGTTTCACAAGGAAATCCTGAGAAGATCAGATCTACTATCATGGAGGGGCATCGTCTAAGGCAGCACCTCCAGAAGGAGAATCCTCTGCCCCAGAAGGAGGGCTGTCAGGCACAGGAACAGAGGCTTTTACTTCCGAGCTGTGTGGCTTCTCCAGATCAGAGTTCATGTCGGAATTCCCTCCGCCACTCACCTCTCCCTCTGACTCTTCAGTCAATTTGTCTTGAGCATGAGCAGACTCCTCAGAATCTTCTTTTTCCCGCAGAAAGCTGCAAATTGGGTTGGGCCTGCTGTAGGAAAAATCTCTGTCCTTGATCTGTAACCATTCCACTCCACCTGATGCGAAGAAGGAAAATTTATATTAGTGACAGAAGGAGTTAAGAGTTAACGGCATTTTTTTCTTGGTTTAAGTTCATTGTTATTAAGGCTGACCCTGACCAACATTTAAGTAAAAGAATCACTTAGGACAGAAAGGTGCCTTATAAGAATTTTGACCAACACTAATTTTTGTGGCGAGTCTCACCATGAGGCTTAAATCATTCATTTTCCTTGAAAAATAAGGCTATGAAGAACAGAAAGGCATGTGATAAAGAAAGACCAGTTTAAAATGAAGGGAACTCAATTGTTTATAAATTAACAATAATATGCATAGGCTAAACCAACTTATCCACGACATACAGCTACAGGTTTTTATCCAGATACTGAGGTCACTGTGTACAGCTCATTGATGTCATCAGCAGGCACAAGGGAGATACAATTATTAGGAAAGCATTATCTCTGTATAACAAGTCCTGTGTCCTGCTCAAGCTGTACTGTAAAACTAGAAGAGAAACAAGAATGAGTGAGAGTGAAGTTAGCTCTACAAGTCTTAAAAAAACCCAAATGAACAACAACAAAACCCACAAAAATGCAACAAAAATAGACAGAGACTAGAATTCAGCTTGGAAAAGACAGCTCAGAGAGGACAGATGTTTACAAAGCTGTACTGGGAAAACAGGTAGGGATTGACCATCTCCTATTTCTGAGAATAAAATAAGTAACTCACGCTCATTGGAAGCACCAGATCATACATTATAACAACCACAAAAGCAAACAAACAATCAAGAAATCCCACAGTAAAGTTGTAGTTTTTCCATACAACAAAAACGTGATTTGAAAACTAACTTCCATGAAAAGTGGTAGAAGTCAAAAGTAAAGACAGGTTCAAAAAGCAAGTGAAGATGACAGAGCCTTCATGGACTAAAGATGAAAAAAAAAATAAAAAAAGAAAGTTGTAAACTCTTGTCAGGATATTCAGGGACTGCTGAACACTGGAAAGACAGCCAAAGGGAAAGATTGCTCATGTATACATCCTTCCCCCTCCCACTCTGCACATACCATTTACTGCTGCCCATAGTCAGAAATACACCTTTAGTGCAATCCAGTATGGCAGTGCCTGTTGTTTTTAGTGTCGGACAACAGCACTAGTCACAAGGAATCTGGGTTTGTTTGTTTTTTTCTTTTTGTGTGTGTGTGTGTTTTGTACTTTTTTTTAATTTCAATATACACGTTTTTTTGCCTAAAGATGAAAGTTCCTGTAACTTTCTGCATGCTCTTGAATCAAACACTTAAATCAGGCTGACACAGCTAAGCCTAACCCATCCATGTCCCTCCATATAAGCGCAGAGGCACTAACCAACATTCTCTTCTCCTTCCTTCTTTTCTGTCAAAAGTGTCCGTGTCATGTTCAGCTTCTTCATTGTGTGGCACTTGTATTTCAGCTGCACTTTTTGGTTGCCTTCTGCGTCTACTATGAAGACAGGAGAAAAACCAATACCCAAGACACAATCACTACAGTGCATTCCACTGTCAGCTGAAACAAGACAAATATTTTTAACCACCAAGGCTACCACAACAAACAGAACATGAAGTCACAATTACCTTGCTCTGTGTCTTCCTCAAAAACCACACAGGTTCCCAAGGTATCTACAGAAAACAAAGCAAGAAAGTCTTAGAGACTAATTTCTATCAGCTGTAGATACAGGACTTGCTGGCACAGCTCTGGGAACATTCTCACTTCCAGCCCCTTGCCAAAGGCCCAGCACATGGCCCACGCAGGAACAGAAAGGAGCATCCCCATCACCGTAAGTCACTACGACGTAAGATTCCAGACCATTTTCTTCCAGACCAATTTTGTCACCATAAGGCAAATGGAAGAATTACAGAGTGCAAAACACATCAGTTATACAGGAGTCGACAAGTGCTTACTTTTAAGGCATTTTACATCCCACATTTTTCCCCTGCAGAAATACCAGTGGGTGCACTCCAGAGTCAGCTTCCAGGCACACCGACCAGTAACTACGGCAGATGCAGGGTGACGTGTTTAGCAGCGACTGCAGGCTGGGACTGCTCTGTATGGTGCTACACAAACATCTCCCAGGGCTTCAGCACCTCACAGGACCACAGTCTCCATTCACTGTGCAATGCATGGATGTTAAGAAAGTTCTTTAGGTCACATGAAAAAGGAGAGATTGTATCCACATCTTTTTTCCTACCTTCATATTCTCCTGCAAATACATATCTGTCCACTTGCAAAATGGGCTTCTCTGTCTCTATTCCCTACAAAAAGGGAGACAAAATCATACAGATGTCAAGTCTCTTTTAGCCCAGGCAAATTTCTTGCTGTATTATCAGAGAGATATAGGAGAATCCAGATTTCAACAATTCCTTGAAAAGATAAATAATTAACAAAACAAAAACCAAAACCATAAGGCAATAACAGTAAAATAAGAAAAGTATTCCATAATATGGTAAACATGAAATTAAAAAAAAATTCTTTTGATATTAGAGAAATGGATTCCAGACTGCGTAGCTTTCTCAAACTGTCAGCTTCACATGAAGAAAGGTATCGCTTTAAAAGAGGATTTATGGAAGTAGATAAAAAGAGTTCTGCAGAGGATATGATTTTACAGAAGCTAGCAAACTCCTGAAGGAATGGCAAGACATGTAATTAAATTAATATTTATTAAATTAATATTTATTAGTTTTCAAGAAATGTAAGAAAAGTGGTTTCAGTCATTACAATTGACCCTGAGATCTTCTGCACTGTTAAACATCAGGGCCAGGAGGGAGAAGGAGTTCTGTTTTTGTAGGCAGCTTAGTTAAGCAGTGATAATAACTGTTACAAAGGTTTTAGCCAATCCCACTGAAGAATCAGTGTACTGATAAAACAAACCCAAAATGTAATGAAAATTTTTCAGTCTATCATCATATATGTTTATGTAGATTAAACACAAAGAATATACCAAATAATATTGTTCTAGTAATCACAGCAAAACCAACAATGCTGAACTGGTTTAGAAAATACTCTAGTATGATCTAAATTTCTTCGATCCTTTTAACAAAGTGCAGCCAACACTCTTCACGTCACAGTAAATAAATTTAAAATCCTGTTATTTCCTCTTGGAAATGAATTTTAAAATCTACTGTAAATTAACAAATAAATATATATATATATATTTGCATGAAAAAATATGGTATTTTCTAAGTTCCAATTAATTCAAGTTCTATGAAGTTGAATAACACTCAAAAGTCTTTGGAAACTACACAAGGTGAAGAAATCTGGCATAAAGCATTACATGAGCACCAGAAGTGCAACTGCAGGGTCACAGAAGTTTCTGTGATTACTGTGTATCTACACTGTGAAAGAGTTGGAAATTGTTGTTATTTATCTTTTTAAATGAGGAATGGAAGTGTAATGCAGCAGTTCTGTTAGCTCTTTTGCTTCCTCTACAGTAGAGCTTTCGCAAATACACAGGCCAGGATCTCATTATGCTTAATATAAAACACACCTGTAAAGTGTATTTCAATAAAAATAAATGTTCAAACAAAACCACACCAACTACGGCAAAACGTCTTTTAATACTATGTAATGAACATCAGGATTATTCAGGATATGAAGATAAGCACATGCTAAAAGTTTTGAAAACGAGACACTGTGGCAAATTGTGTAAAATACAAAATATCACACAGGTTAATAGGAATTTGTGCAATTTTCCTCTCGTACTTTTGAAAAACAGCAGTATCTAAGATCAGCTGTGGGATTCTTTAAGTTGCGAACACTACTAGCATTAAGCTAAAATGCAGATTTTATTTTTTTTTAACTACAGGAAATTAGTAAAAAAGTAGACACATCAATACGAGGCAACAAGATTAAGGTTTTTAATATTCAACACTTATTTCTTTGGCTGATAGGCATTCTTGTTGCAAAAATGGTGACCAGCATCACAGGAAATTTGCTGAACAGAACAACACAAACCAGAATCTTTTAACAGACAATTGTTGTTAAAACTCCAATAGGAAAAGCCTCGAGGAATGCTTCCTCTGTGGACTGAGCACAGGTGGATTTGGATACGAGTAGGATACAGTAGGTTTCAGAAATATTTGCAAATCAACAGTCCTTGTACTATCTATACAGCTCTCATAGTCCACACAGGATTTGAAGGGCAAATAGTATTTGTCCCAAAGATGGAAAGTGACATAACAACGTAAAAGGACAGATAAGCCAGATTCTTATAATAACCTCATAGTGAAGCAAAAACCATCCAAAACTGTGCTTAATACACAGTTATCCTTTACATTTACGATATCTGAACTTGCCAGGCAGCATCTGAAAACCACATCATTGTAAATACAGTGCAATTCCGAAAGATTTTGCTTTTCCTGTCAGCTGTATTCGTTACTTGAAGAAGTGTGCTTCATGGTATTTTTCCTTAAATTTGTAAAATACATAATTAAAAAAAAAGTAACTTAGAGGCTGAAATCAGAGGGGATAATGGTCCTCACTTACAAATACTCCTGAAAATATTTCCTTATATTTTCAAAATATATTCAAAGACCACATGCCATTTCTGAAATGGGGAGCCCACAACATGAAGCCAAAATCAGCCAAGACAGTGCACATAATTCTCTATCAAAGATTTGATCTAGTTATGATTGACTTCAAGGAATTTAGTTTTCCCTTTTTCACACACATACTGACTTACCCCTTTCCTATTGTGCTGTAATCACTCACCAAAATCTTGCATTTGTTTTCACATTTTTCTAAGAAGTCTGAATCAATAATTCCCGATAGTTCCACCATGACCAGTTGCTCCTACAAGATAAGTTTATAACGTATATCTGTAACTGATACATCTGAACTTGGTGGGGAAAAAATAAAACAAAAAACCCCAACAAACACAGGCCAAAAAGAACAGCATACAAAGACCCAGACCTCAAACAGAACCCAAGTGTGACTTATTCTGCATTTTGTCTAGAGAAAACGACAGGCAAATGCACTGACCCTCTATTCCATCAGACACCTGTTTCACACTTGAATTTCCTGGCCTTTTCTTCCTAGCTAGGAAGGGAGCTCTTTTTTACTACCCTTGAAAAATAAGGACCAATATGGGTAAATAATTTATGAATTATAACAGTATGACTACACATATGCTCCAAATTACACTCTTCCAAGTACTTATTTAAGTACCTATGTAAATAAGACACCATAGTGAGCAGCTCTTAAGCAACACGTAGCTTTAAATGGTAACTTTTAAGTCTTTATACTGCTTTGAAACCAATTCCTGTTTGTAATTTTGGATGACGAAAATGCAAAACCAAAACAAAACAGTAACAACCTTGAAAAATCCTTTGTTCGAGTTTTCAAGAATCACCAACTACTAATCACCTATTAACAGAAGAGTAATAGTTTGTATTTTCAGAGGTTATGGGGATAGGAAGCAACTGAAACTTTAAGAGTCCTTTCTGAGACCACAATTTTCCAGAAAACCTGAAGCAGAACAGTCAAAATGATAAAGATTTTCGGGACCCACTTGCAGTCCAAAAAGCCATCTGTCTCCTGGGCTGCCTCAGAAGAGGCATGTCCAGCAGGTCAAGGAAGGTGATTCTCCTCCTCTGCCCTGCTCTCATAAGACCCCACCTGGAGTCCCGTGTTGAGCTTTGGAGCCCGCAACATAAAAATGACATGGACCTGTTGGAGAGAGTCCAGAGGGTCAAAAAGATGATCAGGAAGGGGTTGGAACACCTCTCCTGTAAGGACAGGCTGAGAAAGTTAGGGTTGTTCAGCCTGGGGAGGAGAACACTCCGGGGAGACCTATAGTGGCCTTCCAGCACCTGGAGGGGGCCTACGGGAAAGCTGGTGAGGGAATGTTCACAAGGGTGCGCAGCAATAGGATCATAGATAAGGGGCAATCATTTTGAACTAGAGTAGGGTAGGTTTAGATTAGACATTAGGAGGAAATTCTTTTCTGTGAGGGTGG